GAGCAACATTAAGGAAGTGAAATGTTTATTTTATATATACACATGGTTATTTAGGAGACAATGCAAGCTGGCAGATGCTAGGCATTGTATATGTCACTGTATAGAGATCATTGATATTTTATGATTGGTTAATGAGTGATCATGTGATTATAGGCTTGTATGTGATTGGTTTACATACCAATGATGGCTTGGTATAATTATAGTGGGAAACTTGAATTTAGTTAAGTTTTGTACAACACTTCAAGACTGAAGTTCTCTCTTCCGGCAAGGGTGCCGTGAATGCCTCTGTTGATTGCTGAGTTGACATTAAAGTTAAGATTTGAAATTACAGTATATCTGTGTTGGCTGAATTGTTTGAAGTACATTGGTTTGCTGGAGTTGATGACCAAGAAGTGTGCTAATTGTGTTTAAATCAAGTACAGTACAACCAGAAGACGTGAAGTACAGAAGTCAGCTACAGTATAGTAAAACAAATACTATACATCGTCACAACTTATATACAACGTTACACAGCTGTAGAGTGACATCTTATCTTTCAAATATATAAATGTGAAACTAGCGGGTATGATTTAATGGGGGAGTTGAAAAGGGGGAGTGGTAAGAGCCAAGCTTTTACCAACTGTGAAACTGAGCAGAGGGCTGTTACAACATCTGTTACAACATTATTCTTTCATTTGCAATACATTGTGACGGCAATACAGCTGTGTATGGTGGCACTTCGGAAAGTTTGAGTTCCAAACCAGTATGATAAAAAGTATTCAACGATTTACGTTGATACGGTGTTGAGGAGCGCCCTCAATTTCTTTAGCCATGATGGCAAATTTTTGAGCGTACACGAATTGCAAATAATATGGATATACAGCAGAGCTCATCAAAGTTGTTGATTATCATAATCAAAAAGTTTGTTCAGTTTAAAAGTAGCAGAAATTAATTTTGAAGAAGTAATCTGAATGCAATACAAATGAATTAAAATAAATATTACAAAAATATTTGCGGATATTGCTTTAGATATTCACATAAGGTTTTTTTGTTGTTTTGTTTGTTTGTTTTTTTTTATAAAATCTTAACAAATTTCTTTTCTCTTTCCCTCTCTCTTTCTTCAGAAAAATGAGGAAAACGCGTGCGGAAATACAAAAGGCGTACAAAGAGAGGAAGAAATTAAATGACCCTTCATCTCTGGAAAATTAATGTAAACAACAAGCTGATTATCGTGTACCTGTTTATTGATGATTTGACAGATATGTTACCATACATGTTCCTAACTTTGGATCATAATATGTATATTCCAGTAGAATTATTTCTGATTCTTATCTTTTCATCGGGATGATAATGTCCGAGTGCGTGTTTGTATGGAAAATAAATCCAAAATGACAACCTTCTGGGTTATATATAGCAACTGCTGCTAATTTGACTCTTCCAATCCAGAGACAAAAACTGTTGACAGTGGTCATTATGAATAGAAAATGTGGGTTTTTTCTTGTTTGACCATTAATGTCATTAAAAAAATGTCCTTACAGTGACTGCACATCACTAAATGCAGTTCTTAACTGCAAACTTACATTCATATCCAATGACTATATCTGAAACCAACCATTTTAAAGAGATAAACTTGTGGTAACGTATCTGTTAGTTTATTAAAGACAGCTAAAAAGTGTCAATTTTTAAATGCTTTTCCTCAAAAATCGGGTATTGTTAAAAATCGCCCATGCATTGTTTCGTGTTGTGCAACTATTAAAGTTTATAATTTTGAAAGTTTGTCATGAGTTATTAGTGGTTGATATTTTAACATTTTTGAGACCAAACATGAACACTTTACCGGAGAATGTGCCTAAAGATACTTGCCTTTGTGTTGAGGATGTATAGCAATATCTATGGGCAGCTTTATCTTTCCAATCAGGGGCTTTATCCACTACCTGTTTATAAAAAAGAAAACAAATAGATAATGTGATCCCTGGAAATGGATAGAACAAAAAGAAAGGACAAGGTATAGTAATAAAAGAAAGAAATAGAGAATAGATAGAATAAAAGAAAGAGCAAAAAAAGGTATTAAAGGATAATAATTAGAATTAAAGATTTTGTTAGTAAATTTATTTATAATTGCACTTATAACAATATGTAATACTTTTTGACTAGGTAATTTGTAAAAACTTAGCATCACTGTTTTGCTTTCCCAACCAATCAGTATATTAAATTAGTAAATACTTTTTCTTTTCATCAAAAGTCACCGTGCCTCGGAATAGCACGATAGACAGGTGGCGCATTATAAGTGCTGTTTTATTATTTTATTATTATCCAGCTGCCTACAATCGGAGCCAAATTTAGGGTCAATCTTCCTAATCGTAACATTTTAAGGGCTTTTAAATAATCCTCAAAATCTTTCCTGCATTTAAAATTGCATTCATTCATACTAACAATTAGTAGATTCATTTCTAGTACTAGTAAGTTTGCGTGTTACAGATGATCCACACATTAAGCTGGGCACTCGCGGCGCATGACTGTCGTCGGCCAATGCAATTCTATAAAGAACGCAACCTGACGATGTGTGCGCAACTTATTGTTTTTAATGATGACCTGTTCAGACTGTCATCGACAATCAGCAGACGATGTCGCGTCGTCTATCGCTCTGTCTCTTATACACATCTAGATGTGTATAAGAGACAGGTTGAGAATGATATATTAAATTAGTAAATACTTTTTCTTTTCATCAAAAGTCACCGTGCCTCGGAATAGCACGCTAGATAGGTGGCGCATTATAAGTGCTGTTTTATTATTTTATTATTATCCAGCTGCCTACAATCGGAGCCAAATTTAGGGTCAATCTTCCTAATCGTAACATTTTAAGGGCTTTTAAATAATCCTCAAAATCTTTCCTGCATTTAAAATTGCATTCATTCATACTAACAATTAGTAGATTCATTTCTAGTACTAGTAAGTTTGCGTGTTACAGATGATCCACACATTAAGCAGAGCACTCGCGGCGCATGACTGTCGTCGGCCAACGCAATTCTATAAAGAACGCAACCTGACGATGTGTGTGCAACTTATTGTTTTTAATGATGACCTGTTCAGACTGTCATCGACAATCAGCAGACGATGTTGCGTCGTCTATCGCTCACAGAGAGCCGAGTTTGATTCGTCGTGCAACGGTCGTACGATGCAGTGAATGCCCTGCTTAAGACAAACATTATTTAAAAATCAAAAACTGTTATGTGTTGCACATATAAGACAACCCCCTGTTTTTACACCTTGTTTTCAGTGGCGGATCCAGGATTTAGCAATGGGGGTTGGATAATGGGATGTGAGAAGGCACAAGTGGGGGGTGGGGTGGTTTTGGGAGGGGCATCCCCTCACATTTGAGATTTTTTTGGAATTAGTAGACTGCTAGACGATCTTAGGTGGCATCTGAAAAGAAGTAAGCTTAAAATAGAAAGTGTATGTTTTACCAGAGTACACAAGAAGCACACAAACAAGATGAGTGACCATTATTTTATTTTTCACAGTAAACAAGGGAGGTGGCTAGCCACCCTATTCACCCCACCCGCCTAGATCCGCCACTGGTTTTATATGGGAGAATATATAGTAGTAATGAATTCAGTGTCAAATATCATTTAGGATGTCTATTATTGATTGAATTAAGTAGCAGAAACTCGATAAGCTTGGGACACAATCAATTTTATTGACCTGGTATCTTTATTGAGTTTGCTAAAAATAGTCAGTTATAGATCCATTCATTTTAGCAGCAAAGAGACGTTATAGTTACTGTCTCATCTTTCACTTTAAGTAAAGCTCTGCCTATATGATCAAAATGTCTTTGACAAAAAACCGTTGTATGCCCATATATATATAGTCATGATGTGATGTTATGACCATATTTGGGCATGTCACATGTTTTTTGTCAAATAAAATTTGACAGTCTACTCTTTCATTTGGCACCTAATTGAGGCTTTAAATCTGCTGTAACAGTTAAGATACCCCAATGTAAAATTTTACAGGTACTGTCTCTTTTAAGCAAATTTAGCAACTTCTCAGTGGAGCGTCTTGGTGTACACATTTTTCTGTGGGTGTGTGGTCATGCTTTTACACTGAATATTGTAATAGCAACTGTACTTACATTTGCTTGTCCTTTAATTGTTAATTCAGACAATTCTCTTTTTATTCGTTCTTGCTCCTTTTTAATCTCTCGTGGATCTCGGTCACTTGTCCATCCTAGGAGAAAAGAACCAATAGATATAAGTCTATGCTAATCAATCATATTAATCTATTATTAACAAATGCATGTATCACTACACTATAGGGGACTAAATATTCATGAGCCGCGCATTTGTGCAAGAGGCATTTATTTCATCATTTGCGGTTGTAATTAACATACTGGAGTTGCTTATTATGTTATAAAGAATTTTATTGTATTGAAATGTACTATATAATACAATACATTCATTGTGTGAAAAAAAATTGATTTTATCTATCAAAGACAATTTACCTCCTAGTTTTGCTCGAATCCAGGCATCACTAATTTTCCTGCCACTCCAATTTCCTGGTTCACTCCTAAATCTGGTTAAATCGCCCTCACTTTTAGCACCAAGGTGCGGAGATGTATACGACCGCTTGATGGTTAGATCCTCCCGCCACTTTCCAGTGGGCACACGTTGTCTGTGTTCCGATGATTTCAATGGCTGAGGTGTCTTTGGCGTTACATTATTGGGTGGATTATCGATGGCTTGCATAGAAGGGATGTCTTTGACACCTGTGTTACGATCGATGTCTGCGGACGCTGAAATGAATCCACTTGTGGGATCAATGATGGAGACGCTATCCCTGTTTGGTGCAAGAGTGTCCCCATTATATTTAACAAATCCTACGTTTTTATGATCCTGAAAACTATCAAAGTCAAATTTCCCACGCAATTTAGGAAATTTCATATGTCTATGAAGTCTATTCCGTTCAATTTGTTGTGCAATGTTTCCACCGGCATTTGTATCAGGCTGTAAATGAAGTCTGAGGTCCCCATCAGTTCGTTGCCTCAGCATAACTTCTGCTGCCATTTTGCTTCTTGTTCTGTGCCTTGCTTGCTATCTATAGTAAGAATTAAAAAAATTATGTTGACATTTCATAGAAACCTCCACATACAAGGGCCTACAAGTGAAAATCAAAGCTAAGCATGGTAGAGCAGCTTAAGATTTGTAGCACATGTTTGCAGTTTTAAAACCAATTTAATGGTGGATCCATCCCCTGCAATGCCGGGGGATCTTCTAGAGGCTGTAGCTCTCTGGACCAACATCTGAATAAGGCACCCCTCTCAAAGTCTTCCCCTCCGACCATACACACTTGATTGTTACTTTCCTTACCCCCTGGTAAAAAACATCTTGGATTTGCACCTGCAAAGGCAAACTTTGTTTGCGCAGATGCATCATGGACATATTCGGGGGAGTTGAGGGAGCCGCGGGAGCTGCAATTCTCTCCCCCCACCCTTTGTACACAGTGTTACAATTTTAAAGCTTGTTCTTGCTAGATAATACAAATTCTTTCCTGGAATCACTCGAAATGAATACTTCTAAGATATGTAAATATGCATCAGCTCATGTTATACATACTGTAGGCCTAATAGGCCTACTATAATTATAACACATAGGCCTATAGGCATGATTTTTTTACGCAAATTACAAATACAAATAGGGTTAGGGTAATCTTCGCTAAAATCGTGTGAAAAATGATGGTACTATGATACGGAATGGGGCAATGATTTTAACTACCAATTTTACCTAGGTATTTCCCACACTTGCTACCAAGTCCCTGCAAATATACCCTATACATGCTGCAACTCTTCCATAAATTCCCACACTTGTGCTACCAAGACCTCAGAAATACCCCCGGTGTCTTTAGCATAATCCTTATAACAACTCCCATCTTTCAAAATCCTGGCTACGTCCCTGAGATGCATTATCTAATTACCTTGCCCTTAGGATGGGAGGTTAAGCTTTTGGTTCCAACATGTACACATGTACAAGAACTCTACTATTTAAAAAACAATAGGGAATTGGATGTTTTTAAATTTAAAAAAAACAAAAAAACAAAAAAAAAAAATAAAAAAATAAAAAATAAAAAAAAACTCCTGCAGTAAATTGAAATCATAGAGGCCAGGTCTTCCTGGGCTCCTATGAAAGGTGGGCAGCCTAGAACAAAACACGATGGAGCTTTTATCTATGCAGTATGTTACAGTGTTTGTTGTTCAATAGTAAATCAATCAGTGGTGTAGCCAGAATATTTCTGTGGGGCGGGGGGCAGTGTGGGTCCATGATATGTGGGGGAACAAGTGTCGAAGCGAGAAACCAAATGCCAGGGGCCAGGGGCCGCGGTGAGGGTCCAGTAAAAATCTTACAACATGGCTATATAAATGGCTATCTTACTAATTACGTGACCTCAGCCCGTTTGCTCTCAAATGTATAAGTCAAGTGAAATTTCTATGGAATTAGAATCCAAATGAACATCATATTGTTTAATAGCAGTTTATGATGAAATTATTGTATTTTATATTCAAGCAATCATCGACATGTAAAAATGTCAATAAACCTCATTAGCCACCTCGAGGGGTGGGGGAGCAGGCAAAAATCTGGGGGCCCACCCCCTCCCCCTTGGCTACGCCACTGAACTCAATACTACTATTAAGAAACAGTATATTTGGTGGTGTATATGATGGTATATGATAGGCAAAAGAAACTCATATTGACTCTCACGGACCCAGGTATCATAATGGGTAGATAAGCCTACAGGCTATCGCACAACGGGCTACACACGAAGTTTGTGTCAACCGGACAAAGTACCAGAGAGGTGCAATTTACAGCAGTACACAAAGTACTACTTAACGCGTCGTAACGTAAACGAGTAATAACAAAACTTACCAAAATGTGAACTGTAACTATCATGAAGCATATGGATACTTGGCGGTCATTACTAAATGTATCGACACATCAGTTCTCAATTCGAATGAAATTATAATGTAATCAATCATACATGAATTTCAACAAATCCATGGGCTACGAATTTTGCTTCGATACTAAGTTTGCTTCGATGCTAAATTTGCTTTGATACAAATTTTGCTTCGATATGAATTTTGCTTCGATATGAATTTGCTTCGATGAATATTGCCGGCATTTTCAATTATTGCAAAAGCTAGTCGCTCACCAGGGACACATTCTTTTCTCAAGAGAGAGTTGAGATTTGTTTTTTTTTTTTTAATTTTCATTTCAACAATATTTTGTGAGGGTGGTCCATCCAGCCTGAGCTGATCAATTGGGACCCTCAGTACATACAATTAAAACATAAGTATAAAAATTAAACTTGATCTTTAACATAAACAAATTAATTAAATTAAACCAGGAAAAAATTAATAATAATCATAATAATAATAATAAAAAAGGCCTACAGTATATAAAAAAATAATGATTTAAGGAAAACATGAAAATAAAAAAAATATAATAATTGACATATTGGACAGAAAAATAATTGAAATAAAAAATAAATCAAAAGAATTAATGAGAAGAAAATTAATTGAACTAACATAAATATAAAAATTATAAAAGATAAATAATTTACAATTTAAAACAGAACAAAATCACGATTAAACATATTGCAACAAAAAGAGAAAATTACACAAGATTGGATGAAAGATAGCTAAGAAGGTTGGATTTGAAAGAAGAGAAAGAGAAAGTAGAACGGACAATCGGTGGAAGAGAGTTGTAGTTGTAAGGAGCATTATAGCTGAATGAAGTTTTAAAGATTTCTAGATTAGGCTTAGGAATGAGAATATCACCTTTAGTGATTTTTCTTGTGGTCATACGGCCATTGGCAACAATCTTTTTAAGGCACTGACAAAGAGTTTGTGGAGCAAGGTTATGAAGAGCTTTGTAAGTTAAACAGCAGAGTTGAAATTGAAATCGGAGTTGAAGGGGAAGGGTATTGGCAGATCTGAAATGAGTAAGAGTAAGGTGAGTGGTAGGAGGATGTTTCAGAAAGATACGAATGGCTCTGTTCTGGATCTTCTGAACTTTAGATAATGAGGTAGATTTTGATCCCCAAACTGAGGAACAATAGTCAAGGCGAGAGAGAAACAAAGAATTGTAAAGTATTTGAAGGGTAGAATCATTAGTAAATTTTGAGGTTCGTGCAAGAAGATAGACAATAGAGTTAAGTTTCTTACAAAGGGAAGATGTGCGAGACTTCCATGTTAGAGTGTTATCAATAATTACGCCTAAGTGTTTGTGGGACGTAACGGATAGAATTCGATGGTTATCAAGATGAAGATTAAGGTTGTTATTAGCGGATTTTAGTTTGTGCGGAGAACCAAGTAGCATAGATTTAGTTTTTTGAATGTTAAGAGTTAGCTTGTTAGATTTTAACCATGAAGATAAAAGATGAAGGGTAGAGTTTATGGAAGCATTTTCGCCTTGGAAAACTGTCAAACCCAAAGTTTAATGGCAAAACCGAACCGTGTGAGGTGAGCTTAATAGGTGCCATTGCGCGTACATAGATCTTTCTAGTTTGCCTCAGGAAATATCGTAGGAGTAATTATTTTCCCTACCTGTCGTGTTATTGTACCAAATATTCAGTATCTCCCCAAATTCTAGGGTCATTCCATTAGGCATTAGAACATAATATGTTAGGAAATCCTACATTTTTACACCTGTCCAAAGGCATGTTTGCATACATTTTTATATCATTTGAAACATCTTACTTGAATCTATTATACTGTGTATGATGATGGTGATCAGGCATACAGATTTAAAGAAAAATACAAAACCAGCGTGGTGTCCCTGTGCATTTCTGCATAGGCCTACATATTTGTGACATAGTTTTTTGTACTTATTAAAACATTGATACAAACCAAAGTTGTCAGTTATTTCATTTGAAACCAGTGTGGGTATAATCTTAGGTAAGCATGTAGTTAACATAAGCAAGAGATTAGTCCAATGAAACTGTTTATCATCTACGAAAATTGACCCTACCAGCGTCACCACGGCGTCCCCACCGATCGATCTAACGTGACGTGTGTACTTTATAGATCATTGAGAATAGTAATATCACCAAAAAATAAATAAAATGGCAGTTGAATGACCAACAAATACAACTGAAGACAATACTTCGTCATAGAAGTTATTTAGTATAACTTTATTCGGAAAAGTAATCTCAAAATCGAATTGCCGTCCCCGGCGTTGTCAGTGACGTCGTATGATTTGTGTGCGAATTTTACCAATTAACCCCCAAGTCAAAAAATAGTTAAGCCATGTAGTACCTTGAAAATCAACCCAGAGACACGGTAGTTTATTATTTGTTTATTGGTAGCGTCCTTTCGCTGCCAAATCTATTTTTTTGGCAGTTGCGTCCCCGGTGACATCGTGAGGGCATGGTGAAGGCTGGTTACGATTTGGTGGCACATCGGTTTTCATTCATCTGGCCATATAAGTCAGTGGCGTATCTAGATGTCTTGAAATGGAGGAGGGGGTGATGTTGGGCGCGAAGGTGAAGTGGGGGGGGGGGGGGGGGGGATGATCAATGATCACTTGAGGAGCGCTAATTCGCAAAATAAAGTGATTTTAGGTAATTTTTAACTACTTGTGGGTGTTTTATAGATTATTGAGAATGGTAATATCACCGAAACAATAATAAAATGGCGGTTGAATGACTAACAAAGACAACTGAAGTTATTTAGTATAACTTTATTCGGAAAATTAATCTCAAAATCGAGTTGCCGTCCACGGCGTTGTCAGTGACGTCGTATGATTTGGATGCGATTTTTACCAATTAACCACTAAGTCAAAAACACTTGAGCCATGTAGTACCTTGCAAATTAACCCAGAGACCAGGTAGTTTATTAATTCTTTATTGGTAGCATCCCTTCACTGCCAAAGATAGTATTTTTGGCAGTTGCGTCCCCGGTGACATCGTGAGGGCATGGTGAAAGCTGGTTACGATTTGGTGGCACATCGATTGATTCTTTTCATTCATCTGGCCATGTAAATCAGTAGCGTATCTAAATGTCTTGAAATGAGAGGCTGATGGTGGGTGGGGTGGGCGAAGGAGAAATGGGAGGGGCTCGATGATCAGTTGAGGGGTGCTAATTCGCAAAAGAAGGAGGTTTTAGGTGATTTTCAACTACTTGACCGTGGTTTGAAACCAGTGTCGGGAGCGAGTTTTTTTTTTGGGGTTGGGTGTATATTGCCGTTTTTTACCTGGTCAGATTGCCACAAATAGGTTATTTAAGGTAGGCAGTACGAC